AAGCAGGTCAGGATTAAAACTCATGCCAGCATCATAGTTCATTAAAAGGTCAGTGATGACTTTGAGGAGGACAGTCTCTGGCTGTGATGCTGACAAAAACTTGATTAAAACGTTTCAAAAAATGATGTGTTCTTTCACAGTCGTGAGGAGTTTTTTAGCCATAATTATTTCTTCTTTTTTTTTGTATTTAGAAATAGGTCAGTAATTTTTAGGAATCACATAGTCGAACTCAGGCTTGTTTAGAAGAAGATGAAAACTAGCAGTTTTGGAATAATGGGCTCTGGGCAGACAGATCTAAGAGGTGTTTGACCACACTAACAGTAGACATGTTTGGTGCTGACTAAAGACAGCGTTTTAAGAAAAGTACCTTGTACAAACTGAAGCATGGTCATAGAAACATTATGTCTTGGGGGAGCTACGTCACACGTCAATGCATTTCTAATCAACATATCTTTACCGTTTATACTTTTGCTTTCTGACTGTTGGTCCTTTTTCAGCTAACCAATCATAAATACATGAATCAGCCACAACAATAAAACCACACCAGTACTTCCCCCTTGTGCCACCAAAACCACTCTGACTGATCAGCATCCTATGTTGTCTGTCACTAGAGTGGGGCCTCCATGGATCGGGCTTGTTTGGCGCATCCTGTTGATGTTTGATCGGATTGGGATCTAGGGAGTTTGGAGGCTGGGTCAATGCCTGGGGCTCTTTGTCATGTTCCATTCCTGAGCAGTTCTTTTTTTTTTTCTTTTTGGCAGTGTGGCAATGTGTATTGCAGAGTGCTTGCTTTGGGCAGTGCTTTTGCCATTGTTGCACAGTCTCCAGCAATGTGTAGGTGGATGGTACGTATCCAAGTACAGCCGCATGAATGCCAGGACTCGAGGTTTGGCAGCAAGATATTGTATTGTCACAAGATGATAAATGTCATTCACATCACCTGTCAGTGGTTTTAATGCTGTGCAGATTGCTGTATCTTAGATGGGGTAGAACTTGTCACCTTGGTAATCCAGATAATGGAGGAGAAGCTTACCAATACCAATGTATTTGACATAAATCATGATGTTTCAACTCAACCAAACCAATTAGATTTGGTACCAAAACCTGACCAAACTTCTAATCTGTAGGTAAATTTGTGAAAGGATGATGTTTTCATAAACCTGACTAAGTAGTTTTGTTGCCGAAACCCTACCAAACAGAGATTGAAAACAAACTGGCATAACCCAGTTTCCTGGGTGGAAGTCTCCTGTTGGACCAGTACCAACATCACCCCTCTCCTAACATAGCTTGTAGCTCTTTAAATGTGGAACCATGTCCTTCTAAGTCATACTGCGAAGTAGGTTTCTTTTAAAACATAACTGAGAGCACAGTTTAGTCGTACATAGTTGTTTGAAGACAGGATTGGTTGGGGTCGCTACGCTGCCCCGAGGACTGGGCTGCTTGCTGTCATTGATTCAACTAAGAATTCTGCAGCACATCAAAGAATGCTTGAAGATAATGTGAGGCCATTTGTCCAAAAGTTGCACCAGAAGACAACCTTTCAACAGAATCCTAAGCACACTAACAAATCCACCGAGGAATGGCTCAAAAGACGAACAACTCGAGGGTCATGGAATAGTTTAGTCAAAGCTCATATCTCCCATTGAAGTGTTGTGGGGGAGACGTGAAATGGCCAGTGCACGCAAGAAAACCATGAGAAGCCTAGAGTATACTTATCTTTTGATATTTTTGTTGAATAAATGATTTAAAAAGACAGTTTTTCCTTGAGGTTATCTTCAAGTACAACAGCTTTATCTGTAGGCACTGTACCAAAGAGGATCAAATGTTTGCTTCTTCAAAAATAGTTGAAAAAGTCGACATTTTCTATTTATACACATGACTGTTTTCTGTATCAGCCTGTCCTGGCTCTTCATCGAAGCTTTATGATGTTTACCCTGTGTAGCATGTTTAGAAAACAGCCCATGTATTCTTGGCTGCATCATTTCGTCAAATATTCTTCACGTTTGCTTTATTTTTTTACACTTTCTCCAACATTTGGTTTGATTCGTTTGGGATAATTGGCAACTTTGGGATATACAGTAGAATTTTAAATAAACATCTGTGGGTTTGAATGATGTTTGGCTGCACGGCAGAGTTATGAATATCTGATCCAGTGGTTTAAGCGGTTAAATATTCCACATGTTCCTCAGTCTCCTATTTAATGTGGTGCCATTTAGCTCTACCCGTCACAAGAGAGTGGAGAGTCCTTTTTTGGTACCATTGCTGGCCCACTTTTCTCTTTTGTCACCCACTACCTTCTACAAATATTCAATATTATATTTGGGAGTTAATAACAAGAAAAGTGAGGAGAAGACAGTTGGAGCCGTACGTGATTGCGTAATGACAGAAAGACAAAACAAATGGTGGAAGAACAAAAGTAAGGCAGAAAGGAAAAGGGGGTAAATATTGGAAAGACTGATGGACAAGGAAGGCCGAGCGAGTGGGATAGATGCATCGAGAAAGAGAGGTTCGATCAAACATTCAGGGGTTGTGGGCTTGTAAAAAAAATAAATAAAAAAATCCCTGCCAATGAAGAATGCACTCAGCTTGGAATTTATTCATAGATGTATTTATAATGCATGCCCACAGAATAAATGACTTCCCATTGCATGCGTAGCACGCGTGTGCACCTCTATACACGTCTGTGCAAAAACTGTGCGCTGAGCGAGCGCATGATTTCTTTCCATGTGCACCATGTCGGGGAGACAGCGGAAAAGTGTTGATTGATGAGAGAGCTTTTGTTTTAACGAGCCTCTGGAGTGGATTCACCTTGAGAGAGATTTGGTTGCACACTTTACACTGCTTCTACTGCTGTCTGAAGATATCCCAAACACACGCCATCAGTCTACAGCCGGTGTGTGTGCGCGCGTGTGTTTGTGAGTGTTCACCATGTTTGTTTACCTGTGTGCGTTTTGCTTGTGTACTTTTCTGCAGTATGAGTTCCCGATGTGCCCACATTTTTTTTTTTTTGGCGTGCCTGTGTTGGTGTTAAAGTCGAGCAGAGGACGAACTGAGGGAAAAGCTGTGTGTTTGGGTTTGTGTCTGTCTGCTATAAATTGATTGTGAACCATTATTCCCAGCAGATACACACAAAAATAAAACATCTAAATAGCCCAAAATAAAAAAAATAAAATACACACCATGTGACTGTAACCACTCCAGTTGGCTACAACTCAAACAATAGAGCAGAACACCAAGAATCTGATGTCCTTAGAAGTGTCTGCAGCCCTGGTTTGCAGTCAGTCAACATGAGGAATAATTTAAATCCATTGTTACGTCTATAATACAATACAGTTTGACCCCACCTTTAGATAGCGGTGACAGCGATCTTCAGAATTTTTCTTTTCTGGTTCATTCACCCTGCACTTCTTTCTTTAAACAAGGCAGGACCTGGTGGGTCTCCCTGTGGATGGGACTCAGTGAAGCCTCTAATTGTCTTACTGTTAATGCTCCATTGAATTAAAGTAGAATTAAACATAAAAGATAGCCTTTTTTCGATAAAAGTCTCATCATTTATGGATCACTGACGTTAATCCAGGTTTGTTTTAGGGGTTCTTGACATTTTAACATTTTTAGGTATACATATACCACCAGATATAACCACATCACATCAGCATAGCAATTCTGACAGCAAGACAGCACAGGCTATTTTTCTCTTGCACTGATAAGGTTTCAAATTTTGCCATATTGTGCCCCCATTATATGTTGTATTTTAGACTAATGGGAAACATCCAAAATACACATTTAGAAGATTAACTGAAATGAACTGAATTATTTCTGATTTATGGAGAAAAAGAGAAATCCCAAACCCCCTCTGTTAAAACACTGATGTCAACACAATGAAACAATGTTTTTGAAGCTGGCTTCATCCAGTGTTCAGATTTCTGTTGTGTAAATGAATGAAAATTAGGACATTTTAGATTCATAATGCCTCATCTGCATATTTAGACATATAATATCAGAAAACATGCAACAGACCGGGGGCTGCATGGTGGCTCAGTGGTTAGCACCATTGCTTTGCTAGAAGACCTTTCTGCGTGGAATTTGCATGTTCTCCCCGTGCAGTGTGGGTTCTCTCTAGCTTCTCCGGCTTCCTCCCACAAGGTCCAAAAACATGCTGAGGTTAATTGGTGATTCTAAATTGTCCGTAGGTGTGAACGTGCTTGGTTGTCTGTCTCTAAGTGTAGCCCTGTGATAGACTGGCAACCTGTCCAGTGTATCCCCTGCCTTCAACTTGAGTCAGCTGGGATAGAATCCAACCCCCCACGACCCTAATGAGATTTAATATGTATAGATGTATAGATAATGGATGGATGCAACACACACACAAACACACACAAAATGTAAGGAATTATGTAACAAAAAAATTACAGAATCAAATTACCTATCAGTTAAAAAATAAAATTGACTGCCCTTCAGTTTCCCTTTAAATATTATTTATTTTGTCCATTTTATGGAAAAAAAAAAAAGTTGTTTTGTTGATTTGTTACTACATCTGTTCTGTATCACACCATAGTGGGTCAGATAATGATTGTTATAAGAGTGAAAACAGGGAATAAATAGGAAAATGGTCTGCACTTATACAACACTTTTCTACCTGAGTGATGCTCACTGGAAGTTCATAATATTTCTCATTTACACAAAAACTTGGGTTCAGTGTTTTTTGCAGTGAGGCTTCAGCATGTGAATGGACCTGGAATCAAGCCTTGTGATTGGTGGACAACTCACTCTACCGCTAGAATAAAATGCAATAGACTTCAATTTTTAGTTTCCTTTAAAAGGAGAACAAACAAAATAAAAAGCAACAAAAATGAAATAAAGTAAAAAATGTAAAAACCTGAGACTTTTGAGTTTCTGTGTAATACGCTGTACAGACAAAACGCATTTCCGCCCTCGGCCTCTAGGGGTCCCCATGACTAAAACACGCCGCTCCTCCGCCCTCTCTGTCCGCTCCCTCCGCTCTCGTTGACTGTTTACAACCTCAATGGCGCAAGTACCGTAATTCTGTGAGTTTTAACTGGTTTTATGACAAACTACAGCAATGGCAGCTTTACTGAGTGAACTCGAGGTGTTAGAAATGAAACGAGGAGATGGCATATGAGTTGTTTTTGCCGGAATAGTTCGGTTTTATGTTCGCGGAGTATTTGTACGCGTTTGCTCAGAGCTGCGTAAAGCAGGTGAAGTGATGTGGAAATGAATGAACAGCAGCCAGGAAGGATGTCAAAGTCCACATCTCAGGAGAGGTGTAGCTTAATATGTGGTGCTAGAACCTAAACAGGCTCGGTTGCTATTTAAAGAAGCTTCTGAATGTAATAATTTCAGTGAATGTTTCATTAGAGGCTCACTTGTGTTTAAGTAAATCTGCTGTATAAGGACATATCATGGCAGCTAAATGAAATAACGTGATGTAGTAACAGTGGATTAACATGGTACCGTTAACTTGTGGATGGGAGGGATGGATGCCTGCAATTGATAATCATTTACGGGATGTGCAACCTGCTGTTAGGAGTTCAGCTGAAGCATTATTGTGACCAGTAACTAAACACTGTTGTCTCTGCTTTGCTATTTGGAGCTGAAACGTAAGAAAGGAGTGTTGGAAAGCTGCAGGTGCAGTATGATTGTTTTATGCTGTTGTTTTTCATGCAAGTGTTGAACTATTAAGTCAATTGGCAGACGATCACTGTGTAAGTTAAATCCTTGGACTATGTGCAGTTACAGTTACCGTTGACTGAAACTTTATCTTATTCAGATCGGTTATGTTATAGAATCCTGCTTGCAAAGGATATGTTTTAGGGCTGCATCTAATCCTAATTTTCTGTAATCAATCTGCAAATTTTCTTTTTCCTCTTCCTTATTTTTAATACTATCATGAAACACAACATTGTAATTTCTTGGATACCAAAAGTGCTGCTTCAAATATTTCATCACACCAAAATATGTAGTTAACTGTTGTATCATGTGCGAAAAAGACAAGCAGCACATCCCTAAATGTGACTAGCTGGGATCATGTTGGTAATAACTGAAACTGTTATCTAAAGGGTTGCAAATTAGTTTTTTGTCAACAGACTAATAAATCAGTCCACTAACAGCCTCAGCTGTGATTATTTTATAGCACATTTTACTGCTTTATGGGTTTGTTTCCTCTTTAGCACACATGCTGACATGCTTGTGTCGTGATATCATTTCAATTGGAAAGATATTGCACAAATGAGTGGTTGACTAATTGATCAAAAAATAAATAAAACAAAAAATCTGGAAAACTATTTTGACTACCGATTCGTCATTAAAAGACCTTTTTAAGAAAAGAACATCCAAACACTATGTGGTTCCAGCTTCTTCAGTTTACTGCTGTTTTCTGTTTCATTTAATTGTAAACCTATAATAAGAAATTTATTTCATTACTAAGGACTCTGAGAAAATGTGATGGGTACTTTTCCAGCATTTGTATTTACATTAAATATAATCTTCAGACCATATGATGAACCAAAAAGCTACTCAACAGATTCATCAGTAACAAAATTAGCATTAGTTGCAGCCCTAATATTGTGCCTAGAGTTGCTGTTTGTCAGTTCTTAGTGCTCTCATGCTTTGGCATCAGTGTTAAAGTTTGTATTTTCTTTGCTTGTTTCAAAGGGAATAAGTTGCCTAGAGGGAGGCTGGTGATGAGCTAGGATTAATTAAAAATCTGAAAAATAAATGACTTCCTTTGATTGAATTAAAAGCAAAGGACAAAAAGAGGAAATAGAAAAAAAAAAAGGATAAAAGCAGGAAGAGTAGCAAAAACGTCTGCCCTCTTCTTCTCAGTTCCAAGTCTGATTGAAGACGGGCTCCTGTGGATCCTGGCCATGGATGAAGAGTTGACGCCTTTGGACTGTCTGCTGCCCTCAGGTGCTGCCTTTCAAACACACATTCCCTTGGCGCAAACACACATGCACGAAATCAATCAAACACGCTGGTCCATGCACGGACACGTATGGTATTTTCATACACAAGCTATATACGCGTGTGCGGGACGCCCACCCGAACACGGGCGATCTGTATGAGTCTAATCAAAATGCACACTTACTCGCACCACTGTCATACTCGTCTTCCTCACTCTGCTTCTCCCACTCACTGAAACACACACACAAGCAGTCTTCGGGGAGCTAGAACTCAAAAACAAATCACTTGCACTATCTTGACAACAGTGTGTATATGTATGAGATGTGTCGTTTTTGTTATGCATACATAATGAATTTTTGCTGAAAGAGGCCTTGATGCGTTCGCTTTGAAGAGGTGGTTTGATTATTAAAATCTTTCGAAAAATTTATAATCTAGTTGGCGTCACAATAAAATCCCTGTCATCATTTAAATTCACTTTGTTCCAACACAACGCTGGAGTTCTGTATGACATTTGACTAAAAAAGTCAGCCTACTGTGCACAGGGCTCCAGACAAACTTTTCATACTGCTTACACTGATGCGCTGAACTATTTCATTTAGATGCACCAGCAAATAATTTAGGCGCACCCAAATTTTTCACCATGAATAATGCATTGAAAGAGTTTTTTTTTAGTTTTTTTTTGTCAGTTCCCATAAACATCAGTGATTTCTTAACACATTATGCATGCGTCGAAATGGGAGTCGGATGCAGATAAATGCTTTTGGCATTTATCCATTTCTTTACCATAACAATGATCTGGGACTTAAAGCTAGCAAAAGTTGCTCTTCTCTGTCTATATCATAAACAGTGTTTAAGTGTTACAATCATTTCTGACTTCTCACTGCTTTGGTTTGCTGCTGCCTGGGGTTGGAATGTTGTGAGGATGGGAGGGAGGGAGGAAGGGAGGGAGGGAGGCTACCCTGCCGGCCTCTGACCCGTCACGACACAGGAGGAGCTTCTTGGTGACATTGTCTTTTTTTTAACTTTTGAATTTGGAGTGTTGACATTGCACCTGCAAAAGCTCTGCTCTCTGCTGTGGTTTGACATTCTTTGCAATGAATATGTTGCTTACTGGACATTTTTTGACAATATACATACAGTCATCCTCAAATGTATTCATACCCTTCCATCAAAGAAAAAGTAAAATTCACGATAGTCACTCAAACAACTAGAAACTGAAAAAAGTAATAATAAATAAAAAATGCTAAATTCTAATTTAGTGAAATAAGACATTGTGTTTGAATTGTGGTTGAAAAGAATAATTAAAAAAAAAACAAAAAAAAACTGTCCCATACAAATTAGAGCACTTTGCTGATGAGCAGTGGACCAAAATCAAAATACCTGTCAACAGGTGCAGAAATCTGATTGAGAGTTACAGAAAACACTTGATTGCAGTGATTGGCTCAAAGGGTTGTTCATCAAAATATTAGTTTATGGGTGCCATCATGCTTGTTTGCTTGTTTTTTTTTTTGTTTTGTTTTAAATATTTCTGAACCACAATTCAAAAGCAATGTCAAGACTTTCATTGCATTTAATTTATTACTTTAGTCAATTTCAACTTATTTCAGTGACAGCTGTTTTTTCCTTCTTTAATAGAAAGGTATGAATACATCTGAGGACGACTGTACATACTGTATGTAACACCTCTATTTTTCTCAAAGGTTGAGAATTTACTTCTGGAGATGGGTGGCGCGGCATGACAAGCGTGCATGCAGATATTTATCATTTAGAGGGGGAACTCAGCTCAGGTTGTTTTTTCAAGCTACAGTTTACGGATGTCACTTAAATGCCTCACATGCATCAGTAGGTGCTATAATTTACTCATGTTCCCAACATGCTTCACATGCATTTGCAGATGTTATTTGTGCACAAAGAAGCCTCTAGTTTCCACTCAGTCACTGCAGCGCAGCAACTCAGACATGCACAAAAATTAATCCAGATGAAGCAAACTGATTTTATTGACCTGGGTGGGCCGGCCAGAGACGCACACAGAGGGATCTGCTAAATGTCAGGCCCAGTTGTTGAAAACTGTTTAGTTGCACTTCTCAAATTTGTGGTTGCATAAACGACCAAAGTGGCCTCACTCTGGAGCCCTGGTACATTTAGTATCTCTTTTCCAAATGCAGCTTGACAGTTATTTTTTACAGCAAGAATTATTTCTCAATTGATTCTGTATCCGTTGGTGCTCCTAAAATGAAAATTAGATCCAGATGGTCAACAATATCTGCCCTTCAGACCTGAGGAGGAAGCTGGTTATAGTTGTCTTTAACCACTGTTCTCAGGTCAAGGTTTATGTGAGCTCTCCAGTGGTGTGTGTGTGTGTGTGAGTGTGGAGGAAGGAAAGCTGATGTGAGCCTAAGGGCAGTTTTACCCAGACCTGTAAAGGTCAAGGGGATTGTACAACAGCTTGGCCTGTAGAGCAGAAATCAGGAACATGCACTTTTCTCTGTCTCTTGTATTACAGCTGGAGTTACACTTGTTATTTCCATGTCATTTTTGAGATCTGTTTCATGAAGAGCAAATGTTAGGACTTCCATGAAGGATATTCCTGCCTTACAAAGCTCTACACTGGCACGAAGCGAGTTTGCCATTGGCTGAAAAGAAAGAGATACACCCTGTTTGTCCAGATTAAATTGTAGTGTGGGGTTTTGACACCAGCTAGATGTATTGTTCACCCACAGAATTATATAAATAGAGAGCTCGGGAGTGAAAAAAAAACAAATGTTTCATCCCCAGAACGCTCAGCTCTGTGTTTGCCTGTCTCATAAACATACAGTAAGCAGACTGTGTGCAGCATCACTGACAAGATATAGCAAATGAATGTGAGGTCTGAGTCATAGAAAAGTGCACTTTTTAATCTATCTTAGTGATCTGTGGTTTTCTGTTGCTTTCCTGGAGTTATATCACAGAGCAGCGTTGTAATTCGGGGGTACCCGCTTCCCTTCACCCTGCCACGGTACGGGTAGCTGGAGAATCGAGCGGTACTCAAGCCGAACATGAAATATTCCCTCTTAACCTTCTATGTTTGACAATTCTCAGAGTGGAATGTGAAAAATGCACCACCGAACAAGAGCACGGGCCGGGGAGCGCGAGGTGCAGTGCCAAGCAGTGTTCTTTTATTGGTGTTAAAGTGATTTAATATGAGCATGAAATTGTCAAAAAAAGCAAATGATTAAAAACAAGGCAATGAAGGCTTAGCTAAGTGATAAATTGTAACTGAATTTACAATTTGTCAAAGCCACAGTTTGATATAAATATCCCTACTTTCATAAAAACATTGTGCATCATGCATTTGTTTGCTATTTACTCTGTGGTCTGAGTATTTATTGCTGCCTGTGTTACAATCAAACCGCATGCTCATAGTTTTTCCAGTGATCTTCGTTGACTCTGTTTTTGTGATCAGCTTTTTTATGAGTATTTAAACTAAATTAAATGGGTTTGAGGTTACACGTTGATAGATTATACATAAAGAAGATGGATATAATCATAAATGTCACAGCCCAAAATGTCAAAGCTCTTTGCCTCCCACACTAAAACTTATGGAAATGCAGAGCAGCTATATTAAGGATTTTATTATAGTAATTACTTGTTTCCACTGTTATTTTATTTTTATTTTTTTTTTCTGTTTTCACCCGGTGTTTGCAGCCTCCATGATTGCCGTGTCTATGAAGTCAAGAAGCCATCTTTGTTTATTGACAGAGCGAGGCGCTTTCCCATCTACAAGCCATTACTCGCTTGGCAGCTGTGAGACCAGCTAGTCAGAGATGTGTCTGCTTAAGACAGAGTTTCAAGTTGGAACTGTCATCAAGTGGCAGGACTTTTGGCAAGTAAGGGATTGTTTTAGACAATATTCTTGATAGCACATCTGAAACCCCCCTTCCCAGAACGCTGCGCTCCTCGGACACCGTGCATATTGATCATACAGTTTCCGTGATGATAAAGCCTTCATTTTGTGGGAGGGAAGGGCATTCTGTGGGTGAAAGTAAAAATGAATGACTCGATGGCTTGTGTTCCTGGGAGATAGTAGCATGTTCTGTCAGATTAGTTTCCAATTTGGGTCGGAGCCATCCGAGCTTTCCCGCCTCTCAGTTGTATTGACTGCTTCAAACTGAGCCGCGTACAATATCTCTTTTTCTATTTGCATACACAAACTGGAATATAATTGGGCTGTAATGATTTACTGAAATTACCAATTATGCAGTTGACAGAAAATAACTGTCAAAAAAAAAAAACCCCAAAACACAAGCAATTTATCAAGAATAAAATGCTTAATATTCACAATTTTTTGCCTCTCAAAGTAGATGCCATTTCTGTCTGTCCTATATATCGCTGCAATATGTGTCTCTGATTGTTGGTCAGCAAATTGTAGACAGACTTTAAATTTGTGATTTTTTTGCAATTTGCAAACTGTCCTGTTGTGATCAAACAATAAATATCAGTGAAAGGGTACAACCTATGTTGAAGCCATTTTCGGCCCTTTATGATTTGATTCAGATGTCTGATGGAGGGACAGAATGTCACCAGGTGCTTGGTGTTGGGCACTGAATGGGTGTTCGTCAGCTCCACCTTTTTTGTGAGCCCGATTTACTCACGGGAGACAGGTGAGGGGAAGGAGCTGGCAGGAGTGCTAGGACGCCAGTTTTTTGACCGTAGTATAATACGAACATTATGAAATCTGTCTTTTTTGAAAATAATAAACGGAACGAAGAAGAATTAAAGTCAGAGCTTTAATTGCTCCTGTCATATGTGGATCCGAGCAAAATTGCGTCGGATACCGCAACAACCTATTAATGATGCATTGTACAGTACAGAGTATTTTTATTATAAGATAAGCTGCATTTTCATCTTTCTTGCCTCTTTTCTGTCCCTCATTGTGTGCTGATGAAGGTTTTAAATCACTGTAATCATCTCGTTTGCCGTTAAACAGCAGCTACAGTAATTGTGCCGCATGCTTGTCTACGTGTTTGTCTACACTTGACACCCTCACACGTGCGCCTGATTGGTGCAAAGCAGGACCACCGAGCAGCTGTTGATTTGGAATTGTCATACAGCTCGAAAATGAGGAGCGCGCAAAGGCCAGCATCAGTCAAGAGACACCCACTTCTGCTCGGAAGCTATCGTCAGTTTTGAAGCATCCGCTGAAACAAATGTTTACCCAGATGCGTTAGCTAAGCATTACAGGCCGCGCTCTCGCGTTTGCTCGCTGTACAAATCCGAGATGCAGCCTACAGATTTCACAAGGTGTGCAAATAATCCCTGGAACGCTCGCACAACAGAGCACACAAATCCTCTTGATGATATAATTTTGTTGATAAAATTGTCACGCGCTATCAAAGGTGAAAGATGCGTTTGCGATTCCCCCTGAACCACACACTTTTAAACTCCTTTTCCCCCAACTGCACAGTATAGTGAAACACTTTTTTTCTCCCATTAGATAAATTTAGAATATATTTCTATGCCTTCTTTAGTCTAATCTCTGGCAGGAAATGCTTATCTAGACTCTCAGAGGAGAATATAAAAACAGCCCCTGGATGTCTGCATTTTAAAATCCCCAGTGTGCACAGTTAGCCTTTTAAATTTCACAATTTTAATTATAAATGCCTATTCCTGGAATATCTGTGTGCTGGGTTATGTGCATGGATTTAGTGTGTGTATGTGCGTGTGTTTGTGGTATTTATGCAGTCTGGCACTTTTAAAAGAATCCCAAGGTGACATTTCTTTGAACGGAGTGCACGAAAGGCCACGCACCTCCTCGCATGTGTGTGTGTGTGTGTGTGTGGCGGGGAGAGTGTGTTTGCGTGGCCGAGGATTATCTGAAAAGTCACGGCTGGTTGAGTTTGTCTTTTGTTCTCTGTACACCTCCAGCCAATTAAGAGACAAGACTGACAAATCCACTCCTCCTCTTTCTCCTCCTCGCCCACCCCTCCGCGCGTCCTGCTTTCTTTTCCTCCACCTTTGTGTCGCCTCTTTATCCTCTCTTCCTTTCGTCTTCCTTTTGCCTTACTCGGCTGGGGTTGACTTTCGTATTAGAAATGACCTTCCAGTGATGTGAACTTTTTAACAACATCAAGCCAACCGCTGCAACAAAGTCACAAACCCAAAGGACAGTTTTTTTCTTTTTTTTTTTTTTTACCGCCACACTTTCCAAGTCAAGCCAAAATGCACTCTTAACACCCCGGGGGATAAATCCAGAAAGGTTTTTTTTTCCTTCTAGGTGATGCACATTTTGCAGCAAGAAGTTAATGAAACCTTAACTATCGTCTTTCCTTTTCTTCCTCACTGTTGTTTTTTCCACAAGGTGCTTTGAGAAACATACAAGCTTTATTGGATTTTCCATATGGTTCTATTTCTGTTGTGTGGAAATTCCACAAACGCAGTTCAAGAAAAAGTATGTGTTGCTTAGGTTTAGAGTGGCATTTCGGCTTCGCTATGAAAGGCTCCTTTAAAAATGTATGAGGAATCATTCATAAAAGCCGACATAAGAGAGAAAGATAAATGAGTGAGCGATGAAAAGTGTGAAGGCGAGAGGAAGAGAGGTTGCGCTTAGTCTTTGGTCCATTAAGGCCTCTTTACCAGCTCTGTTTTTTTTTACTTTATCAACGAATGTTTCTTTCTTTTCTTTTTTTTTTCATCTCCCGCAGATTAGAAGTATTAGTCGGGGGATCTGCATTAAAAGCAGAGCAAAAGAAAAGCTAAAAGCAAGATTGATTGATGGGGGTTTTAGGGAAGAAATAGTTTTATGAAACGGTGCACCATGAGACATAGACTCTGACAAAGAAACCTGGAGGTACCCTGCAAGAAAGAGACGAGGATGACAGGTTATGTTTGTTTTTAGAGGATTTCTCCTTTGTTGTCGTGTAGCTACAGACGGTATGTAGCCAAGTTCACGGTATTCAGATGAGATTATATACTAAATGCGTGCAAGCTTAAGTGCGCGCATTTCTTCGGATTTCCCCTTTTTTTTAAACAAATGACGAGACCTTGGATGTTAATTGCGATCCCGGTCAAGGAGAGGAAAGGCGCTGTCGCTGAGGGAAATTATTGCCTGAGTTGGATACACACTGTCTGTCCTCGGGTTAGGTTTTGTTATCCTCTCATGTTGCAAACAAACCAATTGCAGCCTAATTGGATCGAGTGGGAAACATTTTGAACTCTCGTGAAACCCGAGACTTGTTTGAAATGGTTTCTGCCTTTAATCCTCTTAGTTTCCTGTCTCCATGTGGAGTGTGATAATGACCTCGTTATCGTGGTTTTGTTTTAATTTTGCTCTTTATTTAGCACAATCAGTAGCACAAACAACAGCCTCCGGTCTCTGTGTAGAAGAAGTATTGTTTAAACATGCAAACAATGATGTCTTTTGTTTTTTTTCTCTCTTTTCTCTAGTTGGATAGTATTCTCCATCAGTTGTCTGTCTGATTATTTATGATTCACACTTTTCTACTTTACTGTCTGTCTCCTTTTCCAGGCACACAGAGGATCTGTCTGATCATTCTGAACCAGCCTCTGGATAAGGACTACCTACACATCCTCTGGAGTAAAGGTAGATATCTCACACATCACAAAGAGAGAGATCAGATAAGCCCTTTTTTATATCACGTAGATCCTGTTTGTATTGGTTTACACTTAGCAGGTATTCCCCGGTTGTTTTTGTCAGACGGTGCTCTCTAAACGGCGGAACTTCTCGCCCTTCGCCCACCTTTCCTGTGATGTTTCAAGTAAATTCTGCCTTTTAATTCATTTGAATGACTTGTGTGGCTTCGTGACTTAAAGTTAATACATTCAAAGCCAAAATAAATTTAAATAACAGGCATTTTGATGAGGGATGTGATAGGAATACGCAAGTGGCTGATAAGTTAGTAAATTATTGTTAATTCCAATCATTAAAAGTTCAGTTAATAATAACGTCCGATAAGAAGGAGCATGAGTGCAGTCGAGGAACGCTACTTCAGAACCGCGCTGTGAATGTAGATTTTTTTTTGCCTGACTGCTTTTCTAGCCGATTCTTTGCTCTCTGCCTTGTTTGCATGAGGGTGTAGCAGCACTTCTCGGAAAAAACAATGGACCTGAGAGCAGAAAAACAAAACATACCTTCTGAAGTTGGGGACAACAGTGCTACAAAATTCCTCAAACACCTGTTGAACAAGCAGAATCTAAAAATCTTGTGACGTCTTTCTGTCCAGAGACAACCCGATCACAGCCATATGGTGCTTGTTATAATGGGCAAATTGCTACGAACGAGCTACAGACGAATGGTAATTATGCGGTATGCGACGACCGAGCCCTAATAAGCTATCTATCTTGCACCTCTGTGAATTCTAGTTGACTCCGAGGATGAGGCCAGCCAGCCCCTCTCAAAACAGCAGTACCTGTACATCAGTGCATCTTTTCATATCAGCAGCACAGCGAGGGTGTCAGAGGAGGTGATTAATGATGGCACCGAGATGTGAGCCTGTCTGCACCTTTTCAAACACCGAAGTCCAAGGGCTTTAGGTAGCCATTAATTACTTTAACAGTGCACAAGGTTATTCTTTTGTAGCCTGCGCTTACCAGTAAAGAGATGAGCTCTTGTCTTTAATTAGTCTATATGGTGCACACTGTAAGTATTTGGCCACGTTGACATTCTTATGTACTTCAAGCTTTGTGCTTCAGCACATAGAATTTAAAAGAAAATAATGATTACTACATTAAAGAGTCAAGTCCAAGCTTCAACTTAAATAGGTTTACATCAGTGCAGAGAGGACTGTGTGAGAGATATACTTCTTCTAACGCAAAGTGCCCAAATTGCAAGGGCTCAAAAGTAATGGGATGCTTGGTGTTTCTTGGGCAGCTATACAATCTGCTTTTATTAAAGGCATTGTATTCTGCTGAAAGCTCTCTTATTGTAATTGTAAGGTCTTCAAGGCAGCAATGCATCCATTCAGACTGGTTTGTTAGTAGTTGCTCGGCGAAAAATGTGAACACGAGCAGTGGCAGAAAGTGTCCGCTCCACTCAGCAGGTTACAAAGAAGATTTAAAACAAACCTACTGGACTCAAGGTCCTCGTTTTCATAATGCAGGCATTCTGTTCATACCCCCCCAAAAAATAAACCCTGAGTACTGACTGAGCTGCTGTCTACGTTTTCAAGGCCACCTCATTGATGCATTCTTTCATCAATGAGGAGAAAATGGTCGGAGCAGTCCACAGCATGGATAAATATGAAATCCTGTAAATTCCTGCACCTAGGCAATTACGCCTGATACTCACCCTGAAGGCTTTCTCACTGTTGCACAACTCCTGTTCACCCATAAAGCTAGCAAGCAATTCCTATTTCAGTGAAAAAGGTCAAAAATTTCATGCCGTACAGGAGCTGTACAGTCGTACTCAAACATACAGTAGCTGCACAATACAAGCTCGCTAAATGTCTCCACTTTAGCTGTTTCCAAGAAGCAGCTGTGCCCAAGGGCATTGGGATGATTGTTATTGAAGAAGAGCAGAACTGTGCTCAGCCACTTCACTTCAGCAATCCACTGGTCATGAGTTTGGTGGCAGTTTAAGGATCAAGGAAATCCTCTAGATTCGAACCATGTTTTTGTAGTTGCTAACTAGGGGATACAGAAAAATGCTGCATGAATACTCTGAATCCCAAAATTCCCAAAAACATGCAAGAAAGGCTTATTGTTAAAAGATAAAAAATAGGTTTTTGAACAGAAGTAGAACTCCAGATTCCCCGAGGCGTCTCTTATGAGTTGCATTGATGCATAGTGGTTGTGCTACTTGGCTGTGATGTATTAAATATGCAAACCAGACAGTTTCACATCAACCTATATTCTACAAGTTTGTTAGGGATTAAATCTGGTGAAATGATCAGAAATACAGCCGAAGTAAACACAGCTTAACTTGAATCAAATTGCGGCAAATTCGTTAAGCATTCAACCGTTCTATCAAGGACAGAGTGTGACGAAGTGACCTGGATCACAGGTTCTCGGCAGTTTTGATGCCAAGACCATGGAACAAAAAAAAAAACAAAAAACTGCAGGCATGCTAATTTATGAAAAATGGAATTCACAAACTTACGCAATCAGGAAAAGAAGGTTAGTAAACAAAATAACTTTGAAGGCAAACTCGTGATTAAAACCTCATCAGATTGAATTTTAATGAACGCGGCTTTGATATTCTTATCAGCTTAGCAAAAAAACCCAAGAGGCACCTGAGCTCTTTCCATCGCACAGCAGTCCTACAGTTAGATACATGCTACTCTCTTGGTTTGTGCCTTTTCACTGGGGGACTGCGTGAAAATGTTTAATGACATGAGACAAAGCAATCTTCCCATCTGATTTTACACCAAAGGTTGCCTGCTGCTTGAGATAAAGATTCCAGGGGTGTTCTGCTAAGGTAGGAGAATAACAATAAGTACACACAAAAAAAAAATACCAAGACTTCTGAATTTGTGACCATGTGGACTGTACAAGAGCTCATGTGCCAGAAAAACAAATGAAGCTCAAAGCAAATGTTTTCTTTTTTTTAGAAGAGAGGCTGTGTGAAGAGATTCTCCATCATCCACACCTTTAGAACTCATCATTAAAAGAATTGTAGTGCTACTTGTTTTTAAGAGTGGCTTTGGTTTTTAGCTGCTTTCATAAACTGTGCCCAGACGCAGTGAGAAAGTCTAAATTCTCCAGAAATCCTGTGCTATGTCCACCCACTTTGCTCAGCAGATCTGATCACAATGACACGGTGCTGACAGCTCAATCTGTAACTAGCTGCCATGTTGTGGAAAAGTAAAAAGTTGCAGCCAGACGTTCACAAACATCCATGCGAGCTACGTGGGCTTTTCTTTGTTCAGTATGACGGCCAAAGAGTATTTATACTTTTGTAGTATGAATGGAACAGCATGGGCGATAAAATGATATGTACCCGCAGTAGGCACTTCCTTAACAGCAACAGGAAAATAAATTGATAGAATGTTTGATAGTTTCACTTGCACTAGCACATGACGAAAAACAGAAAGGTTAGTTTCATGAGCAAACCCCAAGCATGTTCCCTCACTGGCTCACTAAAAGCCAATCATACCTTGACAGTGTCGGCCCTTCGCCCTCCATCGCTCTTCCTGTGGCTTCCATGCAGGTCTCCTGAGGTGCGATAGTCCACAGCCGCTTCTCATTGCCTTCGTTTGCACCCTCTGTCCTCCCATGGTGGAGTCTGTGACCAGCAGGGAGGGCTTGACAGACTCATGGCCTTGTGTCCTTCACTATCTCCATGGTAGCAACACAATCCCGACACCCTGCTCCAAGTGCTCATGGGCCGAGCGTTGCATGCGTGAAGAGCAAAGCGATATGAAGTCACTGGTCAGAGTTACCTGGCCTTGGCCAGACACTGGTAGTCCTCTGTTGCAAGGAGAGTTGTAATTAATATGGAGGACATAACATTAGCTGGTGAAAGTGTGCCAAGAAATATGTAGCCATTTATTTGCCATCTCCAACAAGTTGGCAAATGAAAAAAATAACTAAAAGAAAGAGAGGAAAAAACTTTTAGCTGTTTCCAACACTTGTGCAATGTCAGTTAGCAGCGTTTAGCAGCGTTTAGCAGCATGTAGCAGCGTTTAGCAGCGTGCAGCCTTCTGAGGAGACCATTCCCCGCTGCGCTTCCCTTCAGTTTACTCAGATATAGTGCAGGAGGTGTGCCTTCTCAATTCAAACTGGCCAATCAGGTCAGAGCTTGAGAAGGAAGTTAGCAAAGTTAACAGCAACTGCACATTATTTTCTGACCACAGTGCCTCAATTCATCGTTCCACAATGAGTCATCAATACGGAACATTTAAATAAACAAAACATTTGTGTTTCCTTCTATATTTACCTTAATTAATTGGAATTTCATCACACATCTGTTGTCCAATCAAATTTGAGGCCCCGCCCACTCACCACATGAAGGAGAGGCTTTTGAGGCCTGTCTCCTCATTAAGCTCCAGCACAAGATCCACAAGGTCCTTTTAATATGCTGTTTGCTTTAATTAAACAAATAAACTTAACTAAGTATATTTCTGTCTGTAGACACTGGAATTGTAAAATTACATTATGAACAGAAAAGTTTGTGATCTTTTCCACACAAAGGACCTTGCATGTAGTCAGGAAGGGAAGGATCTAGTGCTTCTGAACAGCCTCCATGTGACTGATGTTAACAAATCACTAACATTTTGTCTGCCAAGTTCAATAGTCTCTTTTAAGTTTGTTTACATGCTGCGTCTTATTGATGTTTATTTAGGTCAGTTTACCTCAAAACTAATTTTACACAGTCTCTATATTTAGTGTGTATCAGGATGAGATCAGGCCTTTATCCTTCTCCTGTGTATTATTTATCTATATATATTTGTGTACGTAAGCTTATTACATTTGTGCCTTGGTAAATAGAGTGTTAAATTTATAACAGCCCTTTTTTCTGCTCCCCCTGATTAAAAGTAGGTAATTAAAATAATTAAAAATGATCAACACAGGTTGATATAAAACAGTCTAGTGCACTAAATAGACCTTAAATTGATTATTCAGGTCCTGTTGATTATAACTTTA